CTGTCGCCACTTTCGTGGGCTCCTGGGAGGCCCAGCGGAGGTGCGTCCCCCGCGGACCACCTCGAGTCCTCGCGGCGCCCTGGGGGGCTGCGATCTGCGCAATTGTCGCCACTTGCATGGGCTCCTGGGAGGCCCAGCGAGGTACGTCCCACGCGGACCACCTCGAGACCTCGCGGTGCCCTGGGGGGCTTGCGATCTGCCCAACTATCGCAACTTTCGTGGGCTCCTGGGAGGCCCAGCAGAGGTACGTCTTATGCGTTGCCGCTGCTCTTCTTGCTGCGCTCTTCTGAGTTCACCGATGGGTGCTGTTCTTCCGCACTGCGGGTTTTGTCAGCATGCCCGTCAGCATTGAGTGGTCCCGAATGTAACCACTACATGTATAGAAAGGGTTGGGTACGTCGCAGGGTATTTTTTCCATGGTCTACCTCGCTACTCCTCAGATCGGCCACGCGGCCCATCCTCGCGCGGCCCCAACGGTTCAGGGTCAACCAGAAAACCCTGACCCACAGCAAGCGCACTCTGCTAAAGGTACCTTAAGCATGCAGCCCAACATGCACATGCCAGTCTTCGCGGCACTTATACGGCGCATGCACGGGCACCTCGGGCAACGTGGGTTTGCGCTAAACCCGGGAAGGGCATTCCAACACAAACGCGGGGGTTTTGGTGCCGGAGTGGCCCGGGGTAAACCCAACTAACATTGGGCTGCAACCGAAGGACTGTCGCGCGCAGCTTTTTCCTCTGCTTCGATGCCTGCCCATCTCGGCAGCTCACTCGACTCGTCCCTCGATATCATTACTTTCACTTGCTCCGCGAATGCGTCCTGGGCCTATCCATGCCTTATTTCGTCTCTGCAGTAGAGCGACCAAGCTTCGCCAACACAATTGGATTTCCTCGCTTGCCACGTCAGCGCCAGCTCGTGTCACGCTAAGCCTTGCCCGATTTGGCCACGGGCGCTCGCGCCCTTCCTGGGCCAGCCTCGCAGGCCAGCCTCAGCGGCGGCATTGGCATCTCATGGGGGGGGGGCGGGCGCGCGCGCCGCGGTCTCTCGGTGGAGGTAGGGGGGGGGGATGCAGCAAGGGTAGCGCCCCAAGAACTGCGATTTGTCTTTCAAGCCTGCATCATCAACCCAACGATGCGCATTTAGTTTATTGTTCAGACGACGCGCTTCGCTGCCTCGCTCTCCTGCGCCTCTCTGGCTGCGTCGCGCGCCCTCCCGTCGCGTTTCCAGCCGGCCGCGCGCTGTCATAATGGACTGGGGCAGGCGGGGGCGGGTGCTTCACCGGCGGGGGGGGGGGGGCGGCCCCCCCCCCCCCCCCCCCCCTAAGGCCCAACGACCCTCAGACGAGGGGCGGCAATCGCACCGCGGGCTGTTTCGCCAGAGGCCCGACCTCTGCAGCATTCGCCCTGTCGCGCCTCGCGCGCAGAGCACGTGCCTTGCAGCCGCAGTCTTACAATCAAGACGGCGCTACCAATTGAACCTATGGGGTGCTCCAGGCTTTCCAGACTCGTCATGTTTATCCGTGAGGGCTTCGCCCCATGCTGCTGGCCCCCTGTCTCGGATAATGGGAGATGCAAAAGCTAAATCATGAGGTCTGGGCGCCGTCGTGAAGCAGCTTCAGGGTCTGTTCGTTTTTCGACCCTGACCCTACGGATCTGCGTCACGGGTGCCACCGAATTTCAGAAATGCGGCAAATCTGTTCTGCGTTTTCGACCCTGACCCTACGGATCTGCGTGAGGGGTGCCGCCGCATGTGGCAAATCCCGTGTGTTTTTGGACCCTGACCTCGCCGATCTACGCGAGGGGTGCCGCCGAATCTTAGAAATGTCGCAAATCCCATGTGTTTTTGGACCCTGGCCCCGCCGATCTGCGTGAGGGGTGCCACCGAATGACAGAAATGTGGCAAGTCCCGTGTGTTTTTGGATCCTGGCCCCACCGATCTGCGCGAGGGGTGCCACCGAATGACAGGAGTATAGCAAATCCCATGTGTTTTTGCATCCTGACCCCGCCGATTTGTATGAGGGGTGACACCGAATGACAGGAATATAACAAACCCCATCTGTTTTTGCACCCTGCCTCCGCCGATCTGCGTGAGGGGTGTTGGCAAATTTCAGAATTGTGGCAAATCCGATGTGTTTTTGGACCCTGACCTCGGCGATCTGCGCGAGGAGTGCCAGCAAATGTCAGAAATGTGGCAAATCCCATGTGTTTTTGGACCCTCACCCCGCCGATCTGCGTGAGGAGTGCTGGCAAATTTCACCAATGTGGCAAATCCCATGTATTTCTGCCGATCTCCGTGAGGAGTGCCGATTTTTACCCACCCCAGCAATTCAGAGCATACGTTTTGGGCGTGGTAAGAATGCCCGTTTTGGGCCCCCCCTCGCGCGGTCCAACAACAAGGAACACTAAGCAGCAAGAAGCAGAACTGTAACAGTGGAGACTGGTAGCTGCAACTGGCACAGGAAACTGCGAACCTTAGGCCTACAGCCTGGTGGCCCCACAAGGGGGCCGGCGGATCTTACTCAGGTCAGCGCCGTCTTGACGGACCTGGCGGGTGCCTATTCAATTGTCTATTATTGTGCTGGCCTCCGCCTCCGGCCAGTGCCACCGATCCGGGGCGTTCTGGATAATGGTGATGATGCTGCTGCTGCTGCTGCTGATGATGATGATGATGATGATGATGATGAGTATGATGATGATGATGATGATGATGATGATGATGATGATGATGATGATGATGATGATGATGATGATGATGATGATTATGATGATGATGATGACGATGATGACGATGATGACGATGATGACGATGATGTTTATCATGGTAGTGGCCATCTTGGGCGTCTTGGACCGAGCGTTCGGTGATTCGGGGTTTTCTTGGGCCGTCTTGAAGGCCTCTCGGGGCCCTGTCGGCCCGTCTTGGGCTTCTCTTGGGTTCAAACAACTCATGCGGGAACATTCCGGGGGCCCCGGCGGGCGCGCAGGGAACCCCGAGAGATTCGAGAGTTTGGGGTGTGGGCCCATTAAGAATCTTCAGGCATGAGGACTGAGGCTCATGGGATTGAGCCAGGGACTTGGGGAAGCCACTTGGGACCGTTTTGGCGCCTCTTGAGGCCTGTTGGGAGCTTCTTGGAGCCTCTTGAGAACCTCGCGAGGGGAGTGGCTGGGATTTTCGGTTCGGGCTCACCCTCTTTGGTCTCTCCTGGGGCCGTCTTGGAGCCGTCTTGGGCCGGCTTGGGCCTTCTTGGCGCCCTCTTGGGCCATTTCGGGGTCGTCTTGGGGGTGTCTTGAGCCGTCTTGACGGGGTCTCGGGGGCCTCTGGGACCGTCGGCGACGTCGTGAAGGCCGAAATGATGTGCGCTTCCCAATGGGAATCGGACGATTTGGACCTCGTGGGCCTTTCTTCGCAGGCGGTTGGATACTGATTGGGGCGTCTTGGAGGCGTCTTGCGAGCACGACATGCGTCGGGAGTGGCGTTTAGAATGGCGTCGGCCCCCTCCCCCCTCTTCCATGGTCAGAGCGTCGGAACGGCGCCGGGAAAGGCGCGGGCCCCCCGCCCCCGAGCCGAACATTAAATGCGTCGGGAGTGGCGCCGGGAATGGCTCCCCCCCCCACCGTAATGGCGTGGCCTCCCCGCCCCCAAGCATGAAATGCGTCGGGAATGGCGCCCTCCCCTCCCCCCCTTCCCCCCTTAACGGCGTGGCCCCCCCCGCCCCCGAGCATTAGATGCGTCGGGGATGGCGTCGGGAATGGCGCCGCCCCTCTACCCCCCCTTGTAGAGCGAAGCTTGAGCGAGCTTAAGTCCACGCTCTCAGAAACTCACGCGCCGGATCGGCGGATTTTCGGTTCGGGCTCGCCCTTTTGTGCCTCTCCTGGGGCCCTGGTGGAGCCCTCTTGGGCTGGATTGGGCGCTTCTTGGGCCATCTTGGCGTTCCTTTGGGCCCTTTTGGGGTCGTTTTGGGAGCCTTTTGAGCCTTCTTGACGCGGTCCCGGGAGTTTGTGGGACCGTCGGAAGCGAAGCCCTCCCGCCCCCGAGCACTGCATGGCGCTGGGAATGGCGCCCCCCCTCCCCTTCCCTCTGCAGAGCGTCCTCCCCTTCCTCCTCCCGTTCCTGAGCACTGAGTTGCGTTGGGAATGGCAACCCCCCCTCCCCCTGCAGAGAAAAGCTCCTTCCCGTTGCCGAGCATTGAATGGCGTCGGGAATGGTGCCCCCCCCCCCTTCCCTGCAGAGCGACCCCCCCCCCGTTCCCGAGACTGAATGGCGTCGGGAATGGCGTCCCATCTCCCCCCCGCCCCCTTGCAGGGCGAGATCGCGAGATCGCCCGCCCCGCTTCCGAGCACTGAATGGCGTAGGGAATGGCGTTTAGAATGGCGCCCCCCCTCCCCCCCGCATTGCGATCCCCCCCCCCGCTCCCGAGCACTGAATGGCGTCGGTCCCGAGCACTGAATGGCGTCGGGAATGGCGTCTCCCTCCCCCCCTGCAGAGCGACCCCCCCCCCCCCCTGGCTCCCGAGCGCTGAATGGCGTCGGGAATGGCGCCCCCCCTTTCAGAGCGAAGCTTGAGCGAGCTCAAGTCCACGCTCTCAGAAACTCACACGCCAGATCGGCAAATTTCCTTGGACTTGTTCTCCCACATAGCCCGCGGCGCCCGCTAGGTCTCTTTTTTTTTCGAGCCGAGTCGCGTACGTCTGAGGTGTGCTACCTTCAAGAACGTCACAGGTATTTACCTAGGGTTAGTTTAGCGCACAAGGAGGAGGAGGAGGAGGAGGAGGAGGAGGAGGAGGAGGAGGAGGAGAGGAGGAGGAGGAGGAGGAGGAGGAGGAGGAGGAGGAGGAGACGGAGACGGAGACGGAGACGGAGACGGAGACGGAGACGGAGACGGAGACGGCGACGGCGACGGCGACGGAGGTGGTGGAGGAGG